CTCTCCATCGCTCTTTGTTTCTTTATTATTTTATCCATATTAGACTTGATGTCCATGTCTGTGAACCATAAGTGAGTAAAAGAAGGATACACTGATCGTAAATTCTGGTTTTCAAATATTGTTCTATTTTAGTGCTTTTCAAGATCAAACTCAGTTTTCCAAATCCCGTTTATGCTAATCTTATTCTACTGGTAATTTCGGCAGTTTGATTTTCTTGTTAACTTTTATTATTTGTTCCAGGTAGATGTATTTGCTTACTGTATCTAAATTTATGTCGTTCAACGTTATTTCTCTAATGTACGGTGTATTTGTCATTATTTTTGTTTTTTTTTTTCAAAGTTCATCTTAAGACCTACTTTTTCCGAAGCTTGAAATAGTTCGTCATCATGGTCTGTAGTTCTCCGAAACTTATAGCGCATATTAAAATGCCATCAGCGTATCTCAAATGACTCAGTTTTCTTTTAATAACATTTATTCCTTTATCTTCCCAGTAAATGTCTATAAACGCATCTTCCAGTCCAAGTGTAAATAGCTCTCGTGAGATAGCGTCTCTCTGGCGAACTTCTCTGTTGATTGGTATAGGTTTGGTTTTTGCATCTATTTGTATTTTCATTGTAGCTTTCTTGTAAATATTATATATGAGCATTCTCTATCGGGAATCTATCCTGCAATTGTTCATAGCTCTTCTCTCTATTGCCCAAAGTTCTATGGAGTCGACTACCTTTTCATAATCAACAAAGCCAATGTATAAGTTCAAGTGATATTCATAGGCTTTCTCTATTAGCGTTCTGACTGTAAAAAGATGATCTGCTGTACTGTAACCCTTTCGGAATCCTGCCTGCTCTAGCGGTTGATAGCTATCGAGCTTCGACGTTAACCTGTTAGCTATTACTCTCATAAACAGTTTGTACATTTGGGACAGCAGGGAGATTGGCCTATAGTGCTTCAGATCTCCTCTGTCTCCTTTTTAATAGAACAGTATTGTCAAACTTTATGGTTAAAGGCTGGTTAGGGGTCTTGAAGGCGACATTAAACTGCCGATGCTTTTGTCGTAATAAAACTCTAAGAAATACTCAACGTTTTCCAACGAATGGATAGAAATTAGAGTAGACGAAAACAGCAGCGAAAATCTGCCATGAATTACGGAATCTGGAATATATAGGGAATCCGGAAGCAACAAGAAATTATGCAGGAATTTGTAAATCGAAAATTAGATATAGCCATTCTCTCTGAGACCAAGAAAAGAGGAAATGGAAGGGAACAATTAAAAGACTATGTACATTTCTTCTTAGGAGTGGGAAAGGATCAAAGAGCAAAAGCAGGGATATCAATATTTGTACAAAAGAAATTCGAAACATATATTAAATCTTGGAAAGCATACACCGAACGTTTCATTAAAGTGACGATTCTCTTAAGAGGAACACAAATAACAATTCTGGGGGTATATGCCGTAAATGATGACTACTCAGTACAAGGAAAGGAAGATTTAAAGAAGACTTTAAAAAAATCCTGAACGAAATTCCTAACAGTCATGAGATTGTATGCGAAGGAGACCTTAATGCCAGAGTAGGAAAAAAAGTACAAAGTAAAGTGGTAGGCATGCATGGAGAAGAAACTGTTAACAACAACGGAGAAAGACTCATAAATATATGCCAACAATATGAGTTAAAGATGTTGAATGGTTTTTTTCGCCCACAAGAACATACATAAATACATCTGGTATCAGCACACAAGACGTATAAAATCGATAATAGATGATTTCATAACAAGACAACAAACTAAGTTAAGGGTACAGGACGTAAAGGTGAATAGAGGAGCAGAGTGCGGCTCGGATCAATGCCTGATAATAGAAAAAAGATATACACTATTCGCAGCTGCGTCTTTCATTAAATTTTTAATAAGTTCGTATTCATCCGTCGTTGAGGTGTGTGATTCCTTTAGTTTTTGTGTTAGTCTCCAGGAGTAAAATAATTGTGTGCTCTCGTTTTCTAGATTGTCTAAGGTGTACGTAGTTCTTTCTATTGTTTCTCTGTGTTCTTTGTATGGATAGAAATGGGTAACTTGAAAATAAACCCAATTCTTATTAATGCCACTTAAAAATACTACGAACATAACTTAGCAAGAATTAAAATGGGACAAGAAATCACCTCTCCTTTTCAAACAATAAAGGAACTAAGACAAGGCTGTCGTATGTTGCCACCTTCAGTACTTGCAACAGATGAAGTTCCCCTACCCTCTTGTTTCACTTGTTTATCTGTTTTCATAACAGAATTACAATTATGTAGTCGATTCAATCGGAGAGTTCCTGTCGCCCATATACCTCTTTTATGCAGTTCTTCGATAAGGGGAAGTGGGCAAAATAAATTATCAAAAAATACTTTATGATTTATTCTCTTCAAGTCGTCAGTTAGATGCAAAACTACATTAGCGCACGCTCCAAGTTTACTAATTTGACTTCTGTCTCCTGAGGCTCCTTGGTAAACCTCAAAACGATACATATATCCACTAATTCCAGCTCTTACCCAAACTTTGACTCCCCACTTTTTAGGTTTTTTTGGTAAGTATTGCTTTATACCTAATTTTCCTTTTAGTGGAATAATTTGCTCATCAACTGATTGGTATTCCTCTGTATCTGTGGCACCTAAGAAGTTTTTCTGAATTTTATCCAAAAATGGTCGGATTTTTCGCAATTTGTCCGTGTTATTTTGATTTACATTATCATTATTTACGAAATGTAAAAACCTCAAAATAGATTCAAATCTATTAACAGGCATAGCATCTGCAATAAGGTCCATTCTCAGGCCATTATCACTTGACCAGTAAAGCCGTATTCTGGGATACCTGATGTACGCCATCACTAAATTTATGCCCAAGAAAGCATATAACTCATATTTTGTAAAACCAAAATTTAATTTATTGTTTTGGCCAGCATATAAATTGGTCTGAAAGACGATATCATCAATTATGTCTGCGGTGAACAGTGATAAAAAATAATCAATTGGATTGTTTCCTTGAACATGAATATTTTCTGTTCCTCTAAACTATGGCAAAGTTGCTGGCCCATACATGCTGTCATTATTGCCCCATTTCCAGTCTTTTTTCTCAGCCTTTTTGATTTTTTCTCTTGACTTTTATGTTTTGATGAAAATGCCAAAATACGCTGAGCTAATGGAATGTCGTCTTCACTCATATCATCGTCACTGTTTTCTGGCTGTATTTCTTCTAAGTCACTTTCATCAATTTGGTCTACAGCCGTTACATGTTCGAGCAAATACGTCTCTTCGTCGTTGTAATCAGATTCCAAATCTGAGCCTTCTGGTAAATCATAAATAATGTCATCATTATCAATACCAATAAATTCTTCATTTTCTGGTAAACATAAAGGTATTTCGTCCCTATTGTCGTCTTCATCGGCAAAAAGTACTTTCTGAAATAGAATAAAATTTCCCATTGAAGAAGTAATATTATGTCAATAAATAAAATTTATTTATTTGTACCAAAATAATATAGGTAAGTACATAAAAAAATGCCCTCGAAAATCCCTAAATCAATAATAAATCTTTGACAAGAAAAGCAAAAAATATGTGAACAAGAAAGCTACTACCCCTCTAAAAATTATACTCATAAAACATACCACAAGAGTGAAATTCTAAGTTACATATTGCATGACGTCCAGTCTAGTGGACATGACTTTAAGGCGATATTTTCGGTGAGTTTTCAATTATTTTGAAATTATAACAAGGGCAAATTGTGTAAAATACATAATTCTATAAGAAAAATATTTTCTTACCTTTTTCTTTGCTTTTCCATAAAAACTACGGGCACTTATTTCAGGCAATTCACAGGTGGTCATCGCGGTCAGGTTATTCATAGATACTAACATAAACAAACCCCCTCTGTGGCTCAGTGGTAAGAGCGCCTGCCTTTAAATCTAAAGGTCGTGAGTTCGAATCCCACCTGGGTGGAAATTTTCGTTTATTAAAAAAAATTAATAAATGAAAATAATTTCTATCCTTGTGTGATCGGTACACACCGGAGGGACCGCAGACGTTCGGATACAATTAGCGTCTCTTAGCAAAGACAATGACGTCGACTTTGCTAAGTATCAAGACAATTACTCTACACACACACACACACACTACACCTCAAATTGTAAGATTGGCGAATGGATTTACTGTCCGCAGTCATTTAAACACAAACAAACAACAACAACAACATAAACAAACTTTGAATTTCAAAATAAATATTGTAGATGGCGGTAGTAGTTACTTGATTAGAGTCCACTGAAAGGGATTTCATGCATTTTGCATAAGTTTCAGAGAATTAAAATATATTTTTTGGAGTTAAAAGAATCTGTCCACTGCAGTGGACTTAATGCATGAGAGGGTTAATTAATTTTATCTGTTCAGATTTCTTTTCTAGGTGACGCTAGAATTTTAAATCTAAACTAAAACAACTTTAAATTATTTTATATTAAATCGTACCTTAAAAATATTAATAATATAATTTATTAATTAAATTAATATTTAATAATAATATTTTTTCTATTTTTAATTAAACGTATCGTTTCAAAAACAAAATATGATTGAAATATCAAATGGTGTTAGTTCAGATTTCTTTCCTAGATGGTGTCGTTAGTTTACTGGACAAACGGGGTGACATGGCATCATAGTCTTTTATATAAATAGATATTGCTGTTACTAGACGCGTCTCGATATTTTGTGTCACGCTAAAGTATTATTTCGGGACCGTACAAAAGATTATACTAAGCTATAAGAAGTATTTACTTCCAGTGAATTTAAAAAAATAATTATTGTGTATTAAATAAAACTAAAAATTGTAAACAAAATGTTAAGTTATATAAATTTGTATGATGTATTTTAGTATGGATCCGACTAATATCCTAACCCAATAAATTTTCATTGCCTAGCCCCTACCCCAACTACTATTTTTTGTCGATGTCTCTATATACTTATTAACAATGTTCTCTTTTGTTGCAGATATTTAGGCACTTCGAATATCCAGCAGAAATATCCAGAGTGAGGTACTACCAGTCAGCCTTACACGAGAAAAGACAGTATTTACTAGATTTATTAATAAATAACAATAGTTACGTAGCTGATGTGATTTCTACGGAGTTAGTGGAGTACGAGAAAATCCTCGAGGACTCGTTCGTAGCAGGAATAATGAGGTTCTCCGATGACGAAACGGAGAAGTGGACTACCCTTAAAGCTGTGTTCTTTTCATCAACAGTGCTCACTACCATAGGTAAGATATCATTTTATATACCAAACTGTATTAGGTACAACTATACGTGGAGTATTACCTATATCTTCAAGTCTCGAAAACACTTGATATTATTACTAATTTACTTGTTCTGACCGTTTTTAATTATATGACGGCGATTTATGCGGATTACAATCAATTTAGAATAGTATGTCTGTGAGATAATTATGGTTTATTTAAGTTGGTTATTGAAGGGAACATGTGGGGTACTGGGATAAGAAAAGCCTAGGAGGAAGACGTATTTTCTGACTCTATAACCTACGAAAACTGTACGAAAATAAGATGATAATATACAGAGTGGTCCAAAAGTCTGGTAACGGCAAATTATGTCGTAACTTGCTAGTTATAATTGTACAAAATTTGAGGTACACCTATTTTTTGGTTTTTTAAATACATCACCCTGTATATTAAGTCATTATTGAAATCTCCTATTCAATACGAGTTCAACCATATGTAACACTTATGGTTTTATGTAGTCTGAAAGGTCTTAAGCCGGATTTATAAACGGACATAAACATAATTTTAGTCTTTAACCATAATCTTATTATATAAGCATAATGTTAAAAGTTAATAAATAAATGTACCCATTTAAAAGCATCCATAATACATAAGACATAAATTTAGTCCTTAAAACGTGACCTTGAAAGTTGGTAACTTTCAACATTTATGAATTACCTAAGTATTAAACATTATGGAATTGTTGGAATATGCGCATGCGTTGGTAGAATCATCTGCAGTTTCCTCCTATACATAACCTTGTATTTTAATTTAATGTTTTTGGAGCGAATTCAACCACATATTTATTTATTTCACTTTTCTATGAATCTAAAGACCAGAAAAAAATTCTTCATGCTCTATAAAAATTTGGTTAGGTTTGTATTTTCTGAAGTAGTTCTTAAATAGTATGGTTATGTATTATGTCTAGTTATAAACCAATCTTAAATCTTATGAATTATGATTGTGGTTGAAGTTATGTTTATGACTTATGATTATGTTCTATGTCCGTTTATAAAACTGCCTTTAAATACATAAAACACAAGTCTGGCAACGCCTAATTGTTTCAATAAATTTTTTAATCCTAATTATTTTCAACTACATTAAAACGTAACAATTGATAGATTAGACCATTTTTTAACAATAGTTACGTCATTAAGTGTTCAAAATGTGGTCAATTTGTGAGTTGACAGTACCCTAATCGATGGTAGAATGCGTCTACCACATTTCTCCATGATTGTCTAGAAATTATTTGAGATTAATCGATAATTCGTTGTCTTTGCTCTGCAAGACTTGGCTGGTTAAGTTTGTAAACTGAATTTTTCAACTATTCCTAATAAAAATAATCTTTAGGATTAAAATCGGGTGAACGTGGAGGCCATTCAGTTCTACCTTGTCTACTAATAATCCGTACGATAAGTACGGAAAATATCTCATCTAAATAACGCCAAACATTTACACCAACTAGGTATCTAACGTTACATTTCCTTTGATAAAAAATGACCCAATTGACTAAGTACCTACTATACCTGATCATACATTTAATTTTTGTGGTCTGGTATGGTTTTCACGCATTCAGTGTGAATTTCATACGAGTTCAACTATTCAATACGAGTTCAAAAATATGTAACACTTATGATTGTATGTAGTCTGGAAGGTCTTAAATACATAAAACAGTGCAAAATATGTGAATTTTAATAAATTTAAATTTTTAAATGTAGAATGCTGTGATATTGACAGTTGTACATGATTTACATTATAAACGAAAACTGACAGTAGTTGTGTTTCGAAAAGTTGTGCAATTTAAATTGCTTCTCTAAAATGCCGTTCTCTAAACCATTCTCCTATTCATAAGGCGACGGTACAAAAAACTGTAAAGCGATTTGAGAAATCTAAAGAAGGTAAAGATAGATGAAAAGAGAAAAGTTTTGTTGAAGATCCACATAAATCCTCAGGCAGAGTTGCACAAGTACATGATGTAGGTCGTTCTTCAGTCTTACGTATATTACGTAAAAATAAGTTTAAACCATACAAAATAAACTTATTGCAAGAATTAAGTGAAGATGACTTCGATCTTATATTAGAGTTTACTGAGGCAATAATGGATAAAATTGAAAATTATTAAAATTTCGGTAACAGAATATGTTTTCCGATGAAGCAATATTCACACTGTGTGGAAGTGTAAATCGACACAATTTAAGATACTGGAGTGACGCAAATTCACACTGAAAGCGTGAAAACCATACTAAAAGACCACAAAAATTAAATGTATCTTCAGGTATAGTAGGTACTCAGTCAATTGGGCCATTTTTTATCGAAAGAAATTTAACGTCAGATAGTTGGTGTAAATGTTCGGCGTTATTTAGAGGAGATATTTCCCGGACGATAAATTGGTAGACAAGGTAGAATTGAATGACCTTCACGTTCACCCGATTTCAATCATAAAGATTATTTTTATCAGGATACTTGAAAAATTTAGTTTACAAAACTTAACCAGCAAGTCTTGCAGCGCTAAGGCAACGAATTATCAATGAATTTCGAATTGTTTCTAGACCATCATGGAGAAATGTGAAAGACGCATTCTACCATCGATTAGGGTACTGTCAACTCATAAATTGAGCAAATTTTGAACACTTAATAACGTAACTAGTGTTAAAAAATGTTTTAATCTATCAATTGTTACGTTTTCATGTAGTTGAAAATAATAAGTATTAAAAAATTTATTGAAACAATTAGGCGTTGCCAGACTTGTGTTTTATGTATCTCCTATTTATGAATAGGAGATTCCAATAATGACTAAATATACAGGGTGATGCTTTAAAAAACCAAAGTTGCTAATAATATAAGAGAAACGGAAAATCTGGCAACATTGCAAATATCAAATATGGAATCTCCGTATTCCAAAATAGGTGTACCTCAAATTTTGTACAATTATAACTAGCAATTTACGAGATAATTGGCCGTTTCCAGACTTTTGGGCCACTCTGTACAAGGTAAATGGTGAAAATATAAATAACATCCGTTATACCGACGATACAGTCATTATCACTGAAAGTGAGAACGATCTGCAGACGCTGCATAACACAATTTGTGATACTGGGGAACAGTTTGGTTTAACAATAAACATAAAAAAAACAAAGTCCATGGTTATAAGTAAGAGGGGTAAAGTCATAATAAGGATCCAGATAAAAATGAATATATTGGACAAGTGGAAAAAATGAAGTAGGTACTTAGGAGGCTGGACAACAAATTTCTTTTGGAAAATGGGCCATTGCTTGCAACGGTTTCCCAGATGTAGTAGGTTGATTTTTTTTATCATTCATTTCTTGATATTCTTTACTATCTTTCAATAGCATAAGATGTAAAAGGTGCAAACCTATTTTGATGAACCACGTGTTATATAGGTTCCTATAAAAATTAAGACACACATAAAACATGTAATGGAATAAAAATCTAGATACATTCGACGGAAAAAGATATGCACTATAAAATTAAATTCTCATTACAATCTATTGTGGCTTAATCCCATATAAACATAATATTTAACTTAAACATGCCACGGGAAACAATTTCAGATCCTATTTATTACCTGTTAAATTTTGCTTATTTTTAAATTCATAACGTTTAGATATGTAGTTTTAGTTAAGACAAATCCATGCACCAACACGTGATGCACGTACACAGAACTCAAATATGCTGCACTGTTCTTTTATTTCCAGATTTTCACCGTAATATATGGCTCCGAAGCGGCGGCGGCGAAAACAGCCAAAAGGCCTTGAATGAACACTTGCATCATTTGTTACTTTTGCGGATTTCGTAATAAAACATTTCAGCGGTTTGATTATAAGACTCAATTTTGGACTGATGTTTTTATCCTAGCTATATCATAGAACAGAGGTAAATGTTTACCTGTAAAAGGTAAAAAAAGTTTTGATTAATTGTATGTCATGTTATTATAAATCGGTAACTATACAGTAGTACCTCTATAAGTCGAACATCAATGGTGACATTAACAGGTTGAGACTCATTCTTAGAGGAGAAGGTGGTAATATGGACCCCCATTTTGATTTTTTATTGTAAAATTGATATTATTAATAAAAAACAGAGATTGTTAGCTTAGTTACGATATGGTGTTAGTTACCGCACATTGTAATAGTTAAAGCGGTTTAAGACTTCATTTTACATTTTTTTTAAATAATTTTTTAAAAGTTGACACATTCATCAGAAAACGGGATGTGCAGTTAATATGGCCCCCATGGTGTTTGTAATATGGACCCCCTTATTAATTTAGGGAAATATTGGCAAATTCTGAAAATTATAACTGCATTGAACAAAAAACCTTTTTATTATACATAAGTAGATAGAGTGTATATAAGTAGATACAGCATAATATGTATGAATAGGTAGATATAGTCTAGTCTACAAAATTAAAATGTCCTACATGGTAATAATGGACGAACAACGACAGAAATCGCAGACGTACTCATCCTTCTCTGCCCCTGCACATTCGTTATGTGCCCACAGTGAACACATGAGACACTGAACCCATAGTTCCCCCCGCACGCTGTTGGTGAACTTTTCATCACAAAAAATACATGATGCGTCATCTTGGTTTGGTTGAGGCTCTCCAACTGATAGATCAAAAGGTGATTCACCATAGCAAGTGGAGAGCTGCATCCCGTCATCATCATCATCATCATCGTCGTCGTCACTGCTGTCAGCTGGACGTTTGTGTTTAAGGTTGTTCTTCTTTGATTTTCCAGCGTTGGCACGTGGGGTACAGTCAGACTTGGCTGCTTGTCCTTTAGGGCTAGCTTGAGGCCCAGAACAAGACGGTATGGGGTTATCAAACGTCACAGCGCTAGTTTGAGGTCCGGGACAAGATGGTATGGGGTTAACAAACGTCAAACTTCGAGTGACACTTGTTGAAGCACCTCTTCCAGTGCCTTTTCCATTGCCACGGCCATTGCCACGGCCACGGCCACGAC